GAAGTCACAACACATGTTTCTTTGCTCGGAAAAAGAAAACAGGAGCTGCAGAAGGACCTGCACAAGTCAAGTGAGCCCTGAAAGTGTGTCTCCTTTTTAAAAAGCACAGAAAAATCCACAATTTTTAATTTAATTCATCTGAGAAACTGAGACAGATGGACAGAAAGAGAGAGAGAGAGCACGCTCCCATTTGCTGGAACATTTGCCAAATGCCCATGATAGCTGGGACTGGGCCAGGTTGAAGCTGGGAGCCAGGATTTCAATCCAGATCATCCATGTGAGTGGCAGGAATCCAGTTATTTGAGTCATCATCACTGCCTCCCTGGGTCTGCATTGGCAGGAGGCTGGAATCAGAAGCCAGAGTCAGGCAGTGAACGAAGGTACTCTGATGCAGAACACAAGGGCCTTAACTGATGTCTTAACCACTTGGTTAAACACTCAACTCAGAAAACAAGACTTTCTCGAGAAAATCTTAACTGTGGAATGCAGCAGTAAGCCGACCGAGTGGCTAGCTGCACACCAGCTGAAACAGGAGTGTCAACCTGTTTCATGTCTGGAAACAGCTCTGGAGATAGTGCTGAAGTCACACTTACAGGAAAAAGAAGAGAATTTCAGAAGCTGCAAAATGGTATCCTGGGGCATGAGGATCTGGGAAACAGTGCACACCTTGTAAATCAAATGCTGGTCCTTAGTCAGGGAAAACAGGCCTGGCAAGGGGCTGGCCCTGCAGGAGGGAGGCCAGGCACTGTTATGTTCCTGGGGTGCAAATGAGAATGCAAGACTGGTAACGGTCACAAGCCATTCAGCTCACAGCCAATGCACAACAGTTCTGACCCATGGTGCTGCCTGCAGAACCAGCTCTCAAATAGGGCACCAGACAGCTCCAAGAAGTGGTAGCCTCAGGTGCAGATGAGTAGAAAATGGACTGAGCCACATGAGTCAAGCTTAATGTCTGTGTTAAGCAAAGCGAGCTCCCTACCTCACACCATCAAGTGTCCCAGTGCGCTCCATCCCTCATGGCACTATCAGACCTATCAGTGCTCGTCTTTCCTTATGAGTTTCTTCTTCACAAAGGCATTTGTCTATTTATGTTCTACAGGGAAAATGTTGAAGCCAGGCCAGGGCCACTCTTGCAAGTGTATGTAGTCACAGGTGAGATGGGGCTACAGATTTTTCACCACCATGATAAAGACAGAGTGAAGACAGGACACTGCCCCACCTGAAACAGCAGCTCCAGGCTCAGTGTGTGGCTCACACCCTCACCGTCTGCACATGGCAGTGCTCTGCCTTGGGGGAAGAGTGACCCTGGATGATCACACAATTGATGCGTAGGAGCCAAGGCCAAGTCCATGCTCCCATGAGGGATGCAGGATGCTCTTGTCCTAATGGACATATCCCACTGTAGGCATTTACAGGAAGAGGCCAGTCTTGGAATCAGGGTGGGGGAATTTGCCCTACACTGTGGCAGGGGGCAGCAGGTGCCAGGACTGAGGTGTCTTGGGATGGAGGAAGGCAGTCAGCTGAGAAGAGGGAAAGCCCAGAATCCATCTGTGACTGGGTATGTCTGAGGGCACTTTGGGGATTTCTAAACTTGTCTCACAATATTATAAATGCACAAATAGAACAGGATTAAAGGAAAGACATTATATTGAAACAAGTAGTACCCATGCTCTCCTTGGTTAAGAATTTATTAGAGGGCTCAAATGACCTAAAGTTTGGCATAAAAATAAGTGTGGGCCAATGTGCACCCTGGGCAGCAGCAGGTGATGGCTCAAGCAGGTGCATTCCACCCACACTGGAAACCTAGATTGAGTTCCTTGGACTCCCTGCATTGACTGATGCAAGTATTTGGGGAGTGAATCAATGGATGGAAATCTCTCTCTCTCTCTCTCTCTCTCTCTCTCTCTCTCTCTTTTTCTTCTTCTTCTTCTTCTTCTTCTTCTTCTTCTTCTTCTTCTTCTTCTTCTTCTTCTTCTCTCTCTCTCTCTCTTTACCTTTCAAATAAGAACAAAGCAAATCCAGGGGAGAAAGGGTAGTGTGAGTTATGATGTTCTAGTCTCAGACTGTCTTGGGCCTGGCATTTGTGATGAGAGACAGCTGGTGCCTACAGGACATCCAACTCAAATGATCCAAGGCCTCTGAGGGTGGACTGCAAGACCTTTAGATTCTGTCCTACACTCAAATGTCCAAGAGCAGGCTATAAAGCTAACTAAAGCAGGATTTTCCACCACATCGACATCTGCAGAATCACACGACTAATCCATTGCATGGGATAGATTTGCTGAAGTAAGACATCAACATAATATTTTACATTTGGACGAGTCTTCTTCCAGAGTGCCCACATCATAAATAAACCCAAGGATGTTTCCACAGAGACAGATAAATATAGGGTGTGGAGGACTCAGCTGCAATTTTGCTCTGGGTCTTCGGTGGTTTTGTAATGGCCCTGCTTGCCATTCGCTTAGAAGGCACTGGTGGAGCCCGAGAGCTGTGGCGCCCCACCAGCGGAGCTCAGGAGGAGGCGGCTGCTGGGGCAGCATCTGCTCACCTGCTCCCGCGGGGCGCCGCGTCTCCGACGGCACCTGCCCATCAGAGGCGTTGTCATTCTCCTCAGAGCTGTGTACACAAGCGAGTCCGGGCCTGCTCCGAGTTGCCTGCGGTGAACACAGACTCAGACGCACGGCGCTGCGGAGGAGCCCAAGGAGGCCACACCCTGCACCCCGGACTAACACCGGGAGCCTGGCCTCCCCACTCCTCCTCGCTGCCCCTGGGACTGGGTCACAGGGGCCATCGGGGCTCCAGGCCAGAGGTGTGCCCCTCCCAGACCTCACTCTCTACCACAGCCCCCTCTGCCAGCACCACTTCCCAGCAATACCCAGATAACAGAAGGGGGCATGGGGTAGCCTGTGTCCTAAGGCAGAAAACCCTTCAAGGATTCCACCCAAGGGGCCTGAGATCCGGGCAGCGACTTCCTGACCCTGTGATGCTTAGCATACTTGGTCCCCAGTCTGGTTAACCAGTGGTTCAGATCGCTGTCTCGGAGAGACCCACAGCATGCAGGGAACACACGCAGACTCCCATGGCCAGGGGGAGCTGCCACCAGGCCTGTTCCACCCTGAACTTGCAGGCATATCCTCCTCCACACACAGCCTCTCTTTCAGAGCGTGCAGAAGCCTGACTGAGCTGCCAGAGGCAAGGGCTTCTGCTCCCAGGGATTCTACAGTTTTCCATACCGGAGCAAGCCCCGTGCAAGGCCCGTATGGCTCCTGATGTGAGTATGTGGGTTAATGTGCTGAAGGACTTAGGAAGAGGGGCTGCAAGGAAGAATCCTCCCCAATAATGAAGTCAAGGCGGTGTTTAAATATCAAATATGTCACTTCTTTTCTTTGAGAGCTGTCAACTGGAAGTAATTTTCCATTTGACAGGTCCAAAGGTGCGAGAACAAATTTCTCATCTCTGAAAAGCAGATGAAAAACAATCATGAAGGAATGAAATCTAGGCCAAGGCACACTCAGGGAGACATTTTGCCTCATGCACTTTTTTATCTGCAAAAAATTCGATCTTATTATCCACCTGTTTGGGGAAATGCATACCCTCAGAAAAAGGTGAAATCTCCTTTCCTATTGCTGATTTTTTTACCCACCCAGGAAAATTTTATCTCAAAGCAGCCCTAATCCAGAGCTGGAGCAAATGGTGACCTTTGGCTCATAGGACTCACAGGGGGCTGCAGGTGAACCACAGACACCTGAGGTTCCTTATGAATTATGGCGGGTAAGCACTTGGCAAAACCCTGGCTCTGAAACCTTGGCAAAGGCCACTAGGCTTTCAAACATCCTTTTGTGCTTTAAAGCTTAAAGCACTGACCTCAAGCTTCCAAGCTACTTATGTTGAATCTCATGGCCAGACACCTTGCAAGAAGACATTGGGAAGGAGGTGTGTCCTTGTCCTTCCCCTCCCAAAACACACACAGGCCAAAGCATGTGAGTACCCCTCCCCTGCCCTCCCTCTGCTGCCTGGCAGAGCTGGAAGCCTTGCCCTCCCAGCTCTGCATCTGGAAAGCTCTTCCTCCTCATGCCTCCTCTCACCGATCAGGCGCACCTGCCCTTGTTACCCACTATGCAGAGAGACAGATGACTACAATGAGGCCGTCAGATGCTGTGCCTCTGAGTCCCATTTCTCCCCCAAGTCACTCTGGAGGGCAGGATCTAGCCTCCCTGTGTTCACAGACCGCAGGTCTCTCACTCATGACGATCTCACAGGCATGGTTTTGAGCTGCAACCGAGTAATTCACAGCAGTGTGTCATGCGCTTAGAGTCGCAGCTGCTGCTAGCTAACATCAGGGTCAACTTTATGTTTCTCAGGCTACCATCTCTTAAAGGCATTCTCTCTCAAGCTGCTTTGGTCCCCTGAGATACTGTTTCCATCCCTTTACGTTGCTTGCCATAAAAAGGCCTCATTACTTTGGCCGGAGTTTAAACAATCTCACCTCCTTTTCATCAAGCCCACTTAAAAACCACAGTCATCAAATGAAATTTGTAGAAATGTGGCAACCGCCCTGGGAAGCGGACACTGCCAGGTTGCCGTGGCCTTGCGTGTGTCCATGCTCCCAGCACTTGTGTGCGATGATTGTGTTGTTTGTGGTGTGTTTCATTTCAGGCCGCAGGAGGAGGAGGTGCAGAGAGATAAACAATTGGAATTATTTTCCAACAGTCACTGGTTGGTTCTAGAACAGACACCTGTTCCTACAAAAGGTTCCAAGTTCCACCTCCTCAACAATAACTGCAATATGTGTTCTCTCCACATACAGACCAATTAAAGTAAACTACAGGATTCTCTGGGGGAGAGCACATCTGGGAATTCCTCTCACAGCATGGGAACTGAGCAATCAAGCTCTTCACACTGATTGAAGCTGCAGGTTTAACAACGCCAAGGAGGGCTGGGCGGTCTCCCCATGAATTTGTTAATTGTGTTTATTGTACACATGGTCTACCTGTGTCTTTGAGGCCTGGGATCATAAAGTATGAATGACAGTGCCTCCCCGGCAGAGCAGTGGTTCTTACAGGTCAAGGTTGGAGGGGATTCTGTCAGCAGCACCACTACCCGGGGTCCTAACCCTTCTGAGCAGGACAACCAGCCAAGAGAATCCTTCCCTCGAATCAGCAGCATCCAGCCCACTGCTGAAGGGGAAATATGATAGCATAAATACAAGTAGATCACCAAAGAGAAAAGTAATTTAAATTTGGGGGAAATATTTATCTTTTCAGAAAAAGGAGGAAAGATGGAGTACTTGCATGTGACTGCTAACAGCACCTGCACAGAGCAGTGGCTATAGCTCCAGGTGCAAAGCAGCCATGTGCCACGGACTGCCCCAAATGCAGACTTGGGAGGCACCTTCCCACCACCATCCTAGCCCAAAATGTGATTGCATGGATATTGGTCAGGTCTGTGGGGATGTCTCCATCCCAGAGCCAGGGTTCCCCTTGTCTGTCTTCCAGCTGACAGCCAGTGGGGTTCATCTGTTCTGCACACCCCTCACTCCCCTTCATCTGAAAAGTCAGAAGTGCAGGTGCAAGCCCTGGTGCCTGGCATCTGGCATGTTTGCACGCAGGACACACACAGCCATTTGCATCCATAGATAAGTAACTAATGATTTATAAGAGACAAGAACCAAAAGAAGTGGGTACAGAACAAACTATTCTATGTTAAGAACAGAAAACTCCCTAGAAAATTTCAACATACCCTTGAGACTCAAAGATTTCACACTTCGATAATATTTTCTGTATTCTCTTTATATCTGCATTCACCCACTGGCATTTACCCATCTAAATTCTACATTCTTCTATTAACCTCTCCATTAGTTTTACCTTTGTCAAGTGGTTTAACTGAATCAAACATTATTGGAATCACAGACTATAATAACTTCAGGTGCAAATGACCACAAATAGGTATATGAGGATATCTTATTTTACAAGTACTTAGAAAGGCTCAGGTCTCACTCACATGGAATTTACAATCTGTGTTCTGTGGAACTCCACATTCACTGTCAGTGTGCAGCCCACTGTATCAACTATTCATAATTGCCTCATCATATTGTCTCACTGTAGCAACATGCACACCTGTATTGATCCATTCTAGCAAAGCCACCAGACAGGTTGTGAGATGCTAAGGTTAAGTCCACAAAAGGAATGCAACCAAGAGATCCTGTGGAGAGCCAGATATGCAATATGTTCAGCAAATAAAATATTATGTCTTTTAGTTTTTCTAAAACTAAACTTCTATTTAATTTTAATTGTTGTGCCACTCACCAACCCCAACTGAGTGATTATCAAAATTACTGTAAAAATCTATGTTTTTACAAAAGTCAATAATGTGTTGGATCTGGCTCCTAATGGCTCACAAGAAACACCTATTAAGCTTTCAGGAATTTTGTGAGCTACTTGTTAAATTCTGCCGTTATTAAATATCAAATTACAGAAACATAAGCTAACGAACTTTATTAAAGGCAAAGGGAATAAGAACTCAAATTTCAATGCTTCCTATATATCATGCTATGTTTTGTGCTCCTGAAGTCATTTACAGCTATCCTATGAATGTGGTACAAGATACACTGCGCCCAGTCTATCTCCTCACTCAGTGGTATCTCACTGTTAGCAAGAAACTGGCCAGAGTGGTAGTATTTACACCACAGGAATTGGCATGAATCAGAGATTGATTTACTGTTTTCTTGGCCATCTAAACCTAGCAAAGGGAAGGAGAAAATGCTTAGAGTAAACTGCAAAGCATTCTGTATATAGTTGTTACATCATGCACTATTAGGACAAATTGAGAAAATATTCTTCCAGTTTTTAGAAGCTTTTCACCAGTTTAGCAAAGAAATCAGACATGTTCAGCCCAGCATTGTGGCTTAATGGGTACAGCCGACACCTGCAGCAGCTGCAACCCATAAGGGTGCCAGTTCGAGTCTGGCTGCTCCACTTCTAATTGAGCTCCCAGCTAATGTGCCTGGGAAAGCAACAGAAATAGTCCAAGTGCTTGGGCTCTTGCACTCACGTGGGAAACCAGATGAAGCTCCTGGCTCCTTGCTTCAGCCTGGCCCAGCCCTGGCCATTGCGGCCATTTGGGGAGTGAACCGGCAGACAGAAGCTCTCTCCCTCTCTCTCTGTAACTCTGCCTTTCAAATAAATAAATAAATCTTTAGAAAAAAAATCATATTTGTCATTGAAAAGCAAATAAAGTTCCAATATACATCTTCCTTGTTTCATTTTTCCCATACTTGTTTGCATAATTATGAAACTATGAACCAACATGCATGTCAGAATAACATTTGTATATCATCTGCCCCATGTGCGTGGTACAAGTAGAAGATTTTGGCAAGAATCAATGAAAGTATGCTGTTTGAATCAAATGGAATGTATCATAAGGAATAATATATATTTATGATTATTTATAAATTGCAAGCAATGTATCTTTATACAAAGACAACTTATAATAAAATTACATGTGTAGGCATGCACACTTTATTTCTCGCACAGCTGGTTATTAAACGTTTATCAGTACCTCACAGCTAGTTGTTAAATCCTCACCAACACACCTCTCATTTGTATGTGTAAAAATTTTAGCCAATCCAAAGGAGAGCTATTTTCCTAAACATTTTCCCTCAGGAGACAGTAAGCAGTGTATTTATGGAAAGAAACAGCTCTAGTTAAGAAGTAAATTTCCTTTGTGATATTTACCAAAAGATAATTTGCCAAAAATGGTTTGGATGCCTATATTCTGGTGTTCTTGCTAACAAGAAAGTGACATTTCTGTGTGTCTATTTTAACTAAAGAGTACCACTTACCTTCTGAAGTGCTTTTGCCTTCTGAAGTTTCTGTTACCACCAACCACGATCTGAAAATATTAAATGGAAAATTCCAGAAATAAACAATTTATAAGACTTAAATTGCGTTGCATTCTGGATGACACACATCATCTCTGTCCAGCATACACACACTGTCTATGCTACCTGGCCCGCAATCACTTAACATTTGTCTCAGTCATCAGATAGACTTCTGTGGTATCCCAATGCTTATATTCAAGTAAACCCTTACTTTACTTGATAATAGCTCCAAAGCAGAATAGTGGTACCAGCTTCTGGAGATGCCAAAGAGAAGCTGTAAAGTACCATTATGAAAAGGTAAAAGTATAAGATACTTAGACAGGGAGAGGAGACCACATTCCCACAACTTCAATGAAAGGACATTGTCACAGCTACTCCATTTTACTAGTAGTTATTGTTGTCAGTCTCTTACTGTGCTGATTTGTAAGTTAAACTTTCTCACAGGTATGTATGTATCAAAAAGAATGAGGGGAATATGAAGTGTGCTACTATTTGCAGTATCCACTAGGGACGTTGGAACACATCCTCTGTGGATAAAGCAGGAACTACTGTATGTCTTGCCTAAATATTTAACCATGTTATATACCTCAGGATTTCAACTTAAGAATTTCTAAAATTTTACTTTCTTAAATATACATACACAGGGGGGTACTTCAAATAGCCCTTGGAAAATGGGATTAAAAGTTCATTTGGCTGTAAAACATTTTTTGCAATCCATGCATATGAGGAGTCTTTTAAAAGTGCATGAAAAGGGGCTAGTGCCATGGCATCATGGGTCCTGAGTCCTGGCTGCTCCACTTCAGATCCAGCTCTGTTCTAATGACCTGGGAAAACAGTAGAAGATGGCCCAAGTACTTGGGCCCCTGCACCCACATGGCTCCTGGCTTCAGACTGTCCCAGCTCCAGCCCTTGCAGCCATTTGGGGAGTGAGCCCACAGATTCTCTCTCTCTCTCTCTCTTTTTCTCTCCCTCTCTTTTATCTCCCTCCTTTTCTCTGCAACTCTGCCTCTCAAACAAATAAATCTTTTTATAAAGTGCATGAAAAATGCTTATTTTGAAAAAAGTGCTTAGACACCACACACACACACACACACACACACACACACCCACATCTATACATATTGTGCTATTTCAGAAGAAAAAGAACAGGAATTTTCCAATGTACTTAGTGCCCAGTTTCTTCCCAGGAGGGCAGCCTGAATCGTCAGTCTAGAGGGGCACCTGGCCCTGCAGGGAGCACCTCTTTGCCCAGTCCATGTGGTGTCCTATGCAACTGGCTCTGTAGTTGTCTTCCACTGCAGTGGGGAGACAGAGCCTCAGAACCGCCAGGGTACTCAGCACCTCCTGGTAACAGGTGGTAGAGCAGGGATCAAGTCCAAGGGACTTCAAAGCCCAGCTGTCAAGAATGCTGCTGGAGCCCAGAGGCTGAGGGAGTGGGCGTTTCCAAAAGTGGGAGGAGGACCTGTGCGTGCAGTGAAGTGCAGCAAGGGGGGAAGAGGCCAAGCTATCCTGTGTGGTTCCTCCCGGGCTCCCCTGATGACCTCAAATGTGGGAAGAGACCATACGCAATCTCTGATGTCTGTTCCAGGCCACTGCCTGCCTTCCACCAGGTGGCTGAGGGAGGAGTCATCGCTGGGCTGTTTGTTCTTTGCACAAAGGCTAGCCTTGAAGGCAAGAGGAGTCAAAAGTGAGCCCCCCTGAACAAATGAAGTCTGCTCATTCAGATAACAACTCAGGAGACAAGAATGACTCCAAGTTATTCAAAGGTCATGCTAGCAGGGAAAATCTATGCATTGATTTAGAACTGCCCATCTTTAATTAGGGAGTCAAGTGTACGGGAGGCAAGGCTTGCTAATTGCTCTATCTTGAGACAGAGAAAATGTTTTCAAGAATTCTTAGAACCTCTCTCTGCTTCTTAGGGCAAGCATTTAGCCCAGCATTTAAGTCACCCATGTTCCATAATTGGAGTACCTGGGTTCAAGTTCTGGCTTAGGTTCTCTATTCCAGCTTCTTGCCAATGCATGCCCCAGAGGTGATGGCTGAAGTACTTGGGTTCCTGCCACGCACATGTGAGCTCCTGGCTCTGGGTTTCCGTCTGACCCAGGCCTGGATATTGTGGACATTTGTGGGAGTAAACATATTTGTGGGAGTAAACCAGTGGATGGAAGATTTCTTGGTCAGTCTGTCTCTCTGCCTCTCAAGTTGAAAAAAAAAAAAAAAAGAAAAGAAGAAAAACTTGGAGCCTATACTGTGGCATAGTGGGTAATGCTGCTGCCTGCTGCACTTGCATCTGATATGTTGCCGGTTCAAGTCCCACCTGCTCCATTTCCTACCAAGTACCCTGCTAATGTGTCTGGGAAAGTGTCGCTCCCCCTCTTTGTGGAGGAACGACATAGAACCCTGCCTAGGCTTCATATCCGAGTCACGGCACCATTATGTCGCTCCCCCTCTTCATGGAGGAACGACACAGGACCCTGCGCTGTTCTTTCGTCTGCTCGGCCCTCCCCGGGTTTGCTGCTGGTTCTTCCCGGGTTGGCTGCTGGTCCTTCCACCTCCGTGGAAGGGCGGTTCCCCCTGCCACATTCCCCACTTCCGCGGGGGAGCAGCACACCGCCGGCCGGCTCTCTCGGGGGCTGCACAGGTGTTCCCTTAGATGTTCCCCTTAGATGTTCCTGGTGCATGCCGTCTCTCTCCTCCTTTATAGTCCTCCTCCGCCAATCCTAACTCGGCTGCCCACACGCCGAGTACGCTGCTCTCCTCCAATCAGGAGCAGGTCCTGCAGCTTGTCAAGTTGGTGAGAGGCAGCTGGGTAGAAGCTGTTGCCTCCTCTCCCAGCGCCATATTGTGGGAAAGCAGATGCATAGAATAAGTCTTAATTCCAGTAACTTAGTCTAGTCCGAGTTGCTCCCAGTTGCTCCCCACAGGAAAGCAGTAGAAGATGGTCCAAGTCCTTGGGCCCCTGCACCCATGTGGGAGACCTACAAGAGATTCCTGGCTCCTGGCTTCGGATCAGCCCAGCTCCAGCCATTGCAGCCATTTGCGGCCATTTGGGGAGTGAACAGCAGATGGAAGATTCTCTCTCTCTCTCTCTCTGCCTTTCAAATAAATAAATACACCTTTTTAAAAAAAAGAGCCAGTGTTCTTGTTATACACAATAGGCATTGACACCTAACTTCCCAGTTGATTGTGATAATGAAGTGAGGCAATGCTTGTAAAGCTGGGTGTGTCCCAGACTATCGACAACACTGTGTCAGTGGGATTGATGGCGCTAATATATCTGAGATGACTAAGGGTCAGGTACTCTGCTATGGCATTAGGATGGGAAGGTGTTTCTGGCACACCCTCTGTCACAGGGAGTCCACCGGGCAGAGCAGCAGGCAGCAGAAGGGAGACTCACCCATGCTCCCCTTATGGCCAGACTCTGACCACTGTGCCACATCCACAGCTCCCCAGCCAGGCAGTGGCCATGTGTGAGGCCACCTCTACACCCCTACCAGCATGCACCTCTCCTGAACACTGGCACAGATGTTCTAGTGGGTGGCAGTGGATGAACAGGTTGCACCCTCCAGACCCCACATATTAACAATGACTGTGGATGCCTTAACCAGGAACAGGAGGATGTGTGGGCTTCGAGTCACACATTAAATTCATAGGGGCACAGAGGGAAGGCTCAGTGGTCACCTGTGTGATGCCACCATCCCAAATTGACAAACAACCTCTCAGTTTACCCAGAGAGACTCACACATGAAACCCAGAGGTCTGATGAGCATTCCGGCCACAATCAGCACCTTGCCCCATGAGCAGCATCCAATCACCTCCCCTCCAGTTTACTGGCCTATAAAATGCTAAATTTTACAGAACACAACATGTTTGTGTTTCTTCCATTTGTTTATCATGTGCAAAAAGAGAAAGATAGCAATATTTATTCAAGAGTATCCACAAGAGTAAATTCCAAGGATTATTTGAAGCTGTCCAGAGCAAAAGTGCTCATTCAATAAAACATATGCTCACACCACCTTCTCATAAAGATAAATGCTTAAGTGCACATCCTGTGGACGCATCTGTGGAAACTGAAACACAACCTCCAAGAGAAACACTTGAGAAATATTAGGACTTTCACTCTCTACACTAAACCCATCAGGCAAGAGAATATCAATGAGTTAAGGAGAAATGGATTAGCTATGTCCCAAGCACCTGTAACCAACGACATATCTGAACAATACATTAATCAGCAGTGTGCTGGCAGATGTGTAACAATCAGATTTTGAAGGACAAGTTAGAGGTGGAGCCCTAGGGTATAACATTTTCCCACTTCCATAAATTCTCCGAGCAACACTGAAGTGCTCTGTAGAGCTGGTGCAATTGGCTCCATCCACTGCAGAAACCATCAACTCTTCCAATTCATGGCTCCACAGCATGGCAGAGTGAAAAAAAATGCTGAACCAAAAGCTGGGAGATGTGGCTGAAATCCCAGTTCCGATAGCTGTGAACATATCTGGGGAACTTCTTCTTCTTGGAACCTGAGCTTTCTCATCTGTAAAATGGAAACTTGCAGCTGTCCTGCAGCCTCCATAGGCTGTTCGTGAAGATAGTTTAAGTTCCAAAGTTGTATGCTGTTAGAAGCTTCTGCTATCGTCACCAAAGTACTCAGTACATGACGTGGAACTTCCTGTGTGTATTTCACTGGGGCATTTAGACATCTAGTGTCCCAAGCAGCAATCTAGCCTAGTTTCTACAACCATTTTGTTCACTGGTAAACTTTGACATCGCTTGTTTGTGTGTTATGGGAAACTCTCAGTCAACATCAAGTTACAGTAATATCCCCACACTGCCTGTGAAGGAATCTGGTCCCCAGCTGCATGAAAACTGATGATAGAAGGTGCTGCTCTGTGCAAAGATGGAGACTGAGCTTCTGCCAAACCTGCTAAAGCAGATCACTGAGACCTTTCAAGTCCAAGTTTAAGAACCACATGAAAACTGTGAACCCCTTGGGGCAGGCATTGGGCACATG